ACGAATGCATGAGTTCCACAAAACTGCAACTGCTACAATATAGGCTGTCTCACAGATACATACCCACACGGCGATACTTATAAATTTGAAATGTGACTGATAGCCCTAAATGTATTCATGGTAATCAGATGGGCACTTTAGCCCATTTGGTATATGAATGCCATCAGGTAAGTAGCATATGGGAGCAGCTCTTCACGAAATTAGGTGTCTTCCGGACAATACAAGACAGAAATAATGAGACAGCGTGGCATACATCGCTTGAATCATAGTCGGGTGACGTGCAGTTGAATTGATCATTCTTATCACCAAACAATATATTGCCTGCGCTTAAGTATTGCATCGTGTTAAGGAGCCGAACTACGAAGGTGCTGAACGGCTTGTACAAAATTGTGTACAAAGTGAAAGGGATCGCGAATATCAGCGGTACACAGACTGGTTTTGCAGATAACGCGATGGGTTTGTACAAAATAAATGGTGGCAAATCATTTCTTATTCGCTTTTTTCTCTTGCTTTGGGTTTAGTGCACTGCTGCACGACACCCATGCCTGCCGGTTAATAGCCTTTTTCTTTGTTCATTTTATGCGTTTTGCCTGGCGGGGAGTAAGGACGAGCGAGCAGTTTCCTGATGTGTACGGGTAATGTGTACGGGTGTTTGTACGGATAGTGCGGCATCGAGCGGTGGGCCACATGATGTATCCATTACCGTGCACGAGTGTGATATATGATCTGTATGAATTGTGTGCTGGTGGTATGACGTTGCCTAGTGTAAGGGTGAAGCATTGCGTGAATAGAAAAGTAAGTTCAAAAAGTTTTTGTCTGCTGAAAATTACCAAGAAAAATTGCACAAAGTTTATCGGTGGTACGTACATGAAGAACTTAGCTTGGCATACTAGCCAAAGCTGCTGAAACACATGCCACTCTTAATTCCCTTGTTTAAGCTACAGTTACTATCATATAATGGCGTTCACTAACAGTCTCCGTAGTTTCTTGAGTCTCGGAGAACCCGGGCGTTGAATCACCAGCGATGAATAACGCAGAACAATCAGGACCGTTTCTCTGTGATAAATCGTACTTTACATGTCTTATGTATTTTTTACTTACTTTTGGGATCGATATGTCGGGACAAACAAACAGACAGAAGCAGGGTGTTTATAAAGGGCCACTTATATCGGAAAGACCTTGCTCAAAATTGAGAACGCTAAAAGGATGTTTTGCACGCTTTTATCAAAGCGAGATTTCATACATGACATCCATGACATGGCTGCCGCTCAGAATAGTTCATAATTTAATGTTTGTGTGTGCGTGTGCGTACGAGCGCACGTGTATATGACCCTGCGCGTATGTGTATGGATTTGCGTGCGAGTGCAAGTCCAAGTTTCAGAGCACGCCGCATCAACACGTGCGCGCGGATCGTGACACGAGTGGTACCACCTGGTGTGCCGGCTCGGCGGAAAGACTGCGGTGTTTGTCTCGAATCGATCGGCGGCACGTGGCTCGTGCTGCGGGCCGTCGGCCGGACCCCTGCATTATTCACGGCACCAACAACACCAGGCTAATGAAGGATGTTCCTGACCCAGGGCCGGGTGGCAGCGCCGCCGCTGTCAGGTGAGTATTTTTGCGATTCATGTTTAGGTGGCGGCCGGTGAAAACGCCCAAGCCTGCGTTCAACAGAATCATAAACGAGTTTCTTCAGCCACGTTTTTTTTTTTAAAAGAAACTCGCAAAAACAAGTTTCTTCCCTCACATTTATCCCACGTTCTTCCGAATTTGGCAGAGATGGAGCCCCTCCCCGAAGTGAGTAGGAAATGACATTCCTGGCACTTGTACACGAGTATACTCCTGGAACCAATACAAAGTACATGCTTTTCCGGTCAAATGCGGAGCACGGTCCACGCGGTGACTTGCAGGCGCGTTCAAGGTTTGCATTCGTGTTCCTTCGAATGCCCGAAACAACAAGTGACTCGGCCGAAATCCGTTGAGTGGAGATGCTGCGTGAGGTATTTCATATCAAGGTTATGCCATGTTGCGCTTTTACACTTCCTCCCCTTAGGACACAAAGGTGGATGCTCAGATGTTCGAAAATTGGATTAGCGTCCATTTTCCCTAGAATTTGTGGCCAGAGACGGTCAACACAGACGCAAATATGTCCGGACACTACAAATTCCTGACAGTACAGATGGGAGAGTTTTTATGAGGTTATGATCGCTCTTGAGAGATCTTGAGAGATCGCTCTATTTGATGCCCTAGGAGAATATCATTGCGTTCATTTGGCTTGCGCTGCAATATAACATTTCTACCGTTACAACCTAGGTAGAGCTTTTACAAGGAAGAAAATCGGAGATGTAACTGCACCACTGCGAGGGCTGAGGCTTAGAAAAACAAACGCCTGTGATGAATTGCCTTCACGACAACGGATCGTGCACTGATGAACCGCACCTTACTGCGCCAAGGACCCCCCAACTCGGACTCCGTCGACATAAGGTTTGCATTAGGAGAAAGTCGTCCTGTATGTTCGCTCAAGGAGCTCTAAAGGACTAAAGTGATGCTACTCTTCCACCAGACGTCTGATGTCTTGCCTGGTCAGACGTCTGACGTCTTGTCTTGTCAAGCCTCCAAACGCCAGTCGTAATTTTACGGCAGTTGGCATGCAAAGATCCGCTAGATTCCTTTACTTATCCTTTTGCAAACTAGCGGTGCGACTCTCTTCACATTGTCATTGCATTTTTCCCTGAATTTCTTTCTCGTAAACAAATCCCACCAGATTTGTCCGCAAGAAGTCAATGATGCAAGCATTTTGTTGCACAGTCAAGTGTGCGAAGCATACATCTTGCAATGAACACTGCGCGCGGTTACCATATAGGTCTCCGACGGACAAAATAGCAGACATGTAACACCACCGTAATCGAGTGGTTCACGACATGTAAGGTCTTAATCTGACGTCTGTATTGGGCTGCTGGGGCTCGCTCAGGAATGATGGCAGCGAGCCAAGTTAGAAGCTTTGTCCGGAAGATGAAAAAGACACCAAAGCTATTGATCAGCTGATTAAATTTCGTGCTGTAAGCTGGGAGTCCTTATCCTGACAATAGTCTACGTTCAATATATCATGAAGGACTATTCAAACGTCGTCATCAAGTCAGCACAAGTTATACTGACGAGCCTTCTGTCCATGATCAACAGCAACGACTCACTGCCACTCCAAACGTCCCGATCATAATTTGATTAAATTTTAAATTGTGTCATTATTTCATTAAAGTTATCAAATGTGTTTTATTTCATTTTAGTTAGTTTTTAGCTTTATTAAGTTTAAATACTTGCCACTGAGATTGAAAAAAACGAAAATCAGTAACTGACGTAGGAATTTGTTCACGTGTTAGATTCAACATCGCATATTCATCCGGACCAAGCCGCAATAGTCTATGCTTGGTAACAATGACCTACTTTTGCTCTGGCGGATTTGATTAGATAGCATTATAAATTTATAATGAAGGTTGGGTACTGGATTGGATTTAACTGTGTGTTAAAATGAAATCCACGACGAGCGCTTGAACACAAAAGGTGACGGACACATGGCGGGGGGAACACTGTCGGCCATGGGATGAATGCGGGGGGGGGGGGCGCACCAAGGAGAAGGTACTGAAAATAGTCTGCATATAACTCCACGTTCTGTCTGTTTGCACCCTCTTTATGCCTGCCCCGCCCATCTGTGCCCATGACCTGTCAATCCGTGTATTCATTATCCAGCTGACCACCAGATCCCACCAGGTTCAGCCCTGGCCCATTACCAATGAGTCCTGTTTACTGAGTGCATCGAGCACCTGTGCCACGCCCTGCATCACGTGGATCAGAGCCTCTGTCTCGCGGATCGTCCGCCTCTGCATCGCTCAGGATCCGCCTTTTTGTTCTGTGTAGTGTGACATAGGAATGGATTGGCTTGGTGCGATTGGGACCGCCAATGTTAGCGGTGAATGTGCGTGTGACGAGCAGTTAAACACATACCTCACTCGAGTTACGTGTGTTGCCCGAGTGAATGCGTACTTTGTGACCCGACAACCAGGCCGTGCCGTGACATAGTGGCAGCGGCATCGGAGAAGTGATTTTGTGCCATATACGTCGAGCTACCCACTCCTACGTCTGTATCGGCTATGGCTCGTGTTATGTCGGCCGACTGCCCGGCCTACGATGGGCCAGCACCATCCAATGGCTTAACCCGCCAGCGCTAACGTTCGGCGGCGCTGGGCAAAATCTCTACCGAACAGTTCTCTAGAATCATGACGGTGAGGCGCCATGGACTTGCACTGCAGGTAATGGAGGGCAGTACCGACCAAATGGACGTATCCTCCTTACTGAGGAAAATGTTCCATGCCAGAGACCGGAGATGGCAGCTACTCAGCTCAGTACTGCTCAGAAAAGCACAATGCCTGTTTTGGAATACTCTGTTCTCATCAAGCGGTTTTCAGGGTGCTTCCCCAGAGTTTTTGCTTTTTGACCGGGCTGTTTGCGTGAGGGAGACCTGCGCCCCATCATACCAAGCTGGAATGTATCGCCATCCTCTGGCGGGATTATCGGCTGAAGAGGAGATGCTGCTGTCGCGCCAGCGCGTGGCGCCGTCCGACGCAGCTGTGGACGAACTAAAGCCAGAGGATCTCGCTTCTCGCTCGTTGGGAAGTGGGCGGCACTGTTCTCCGCACGGGTACAGGTCGGAGTGTAAAGCAATGCATGTGGAGCGCAGCGGACGCTCCATGTCATCGCCAGCGTCTCGACGCGGCCACGATCTCCTCACATCAAGGGGTTTCTGGCGCCGCGAACGTTACGGTTCGCGGCCGCCAGGCCGCGCGGTGGGCGGTGCTGGCCGCACCGGGAGGTTGCCGAAGCCGTCGACAGCCACCTGTCGGAGGCCGCCAACCACCGTCATCAACCTCCCGACCAGATTTGGGCGCGCCGCGCTGATCCGCCGGATAGGCGGCAGCGCACGACACGTGACGACGACGGCTTGTTTTCAGGCGACGATGGTAGACGGCCGTCTACACCTACTAGAGAACATCGACGAGGGCCTCAATGTTGGTCCTGGCTGGGCTTCGGGCACTTGCAAAGGCATTGCTCAAACGGGCAGCCGGGCAGGCTGGCAACGGAGTGGTAACGCTCTCCACGATACATGCTAACGTTAACGGCTTTTTGGCAAGCGATGCGCTTTTGAACACTGGCAGTCAATTCATTCTCACTGAAAGCCGTGTCGTTGGTGCTGTTCCTCCTAACATCCAGCTCAAGCCGCCTGCCCCGTCGCTGTCGGCATCAAGCCATCATTTAGACGCGTCGGGTATCTCGTCCCTCAACACAGACGTTACAGGAGTGAAAAGAGAGGAAACTGTAGCTGAGTTCATTGTGGTGCATAACCTATTGCACAATGTAGCTTTGGGATGCGGTTTCCTTTCGAACATAGTGTTGTGCTGAATTACTCTGTGAATACTAGTGCTAAGTTAAAGCTGCGACTCAAGAAAGCTGTACCTGTCCCTCCACAGTCAGCTGTGTGGTTGGCGGTCAAGGATGACCAGCCTTTGTCTTGTGAGAGAGAGTATATGTTCGTGGGACAGCGCTCAAACAATGTTGAAATATGCGATTCGCCGATAACACCGTTTACGTCAACATATATCTTAATGTACATTCGTAACCGATTGGATCGACTGATAACCATGCATAGGCTGAGCATCATTGGCTATGCAAAGCGGATTGACTATGTTAAGACGCGCCAGCCCGAACCTGCTGGGGAATTGCCGGTAACGTCACAGCAGAAGTAAACACTGTGTCTGCTGACGACGACCGGTATGTTGGAAAAACACTGATGAGGTGTTATCAGACTTTATGGTCCGCTCCCTTTCACCGGCTCTCGGCGAGATAGATAAGCAAGGTTGATCCGTTCATTTCCGGAGGTGTTTTCACGCGACTTTGCAGATGTAGGCCAGTATAACGGTGGTGATTTTAGCTTGGAGATGCGGGAGGGAGCGCAGCCTCGGTTCATACCGCCATACCCAATTCCATGAGCCTGTGAGGACCTATTGAAGTCAAAGCTTGATGACATGCAGGCGTGTGGTGTCCGCAAAGAAGGAGAAAGCTACGGTTGAAAATCTCCCATCATTTTGATTCCAAAGGGGTCCAATGAACATCGCATTGCGCAGGACATGAAATCGTTGAATAAGTTTCTGGTTCCGAAGCAGATTGTCTTCCCTACAATCGATGAGTTTACCCTTTCTCTGCACGGGTGGAAGGTCGCTTAACACTTGACATTAAGCTTGCGTTTTGAAGTCTACAGCTTTTGGTGAATTCGGGTAAAACTTATGTGGTTTACGCACTGGGAAAGACGTAATACGCTCGGCAAATGCCCACGAGATGCATGCGGTGGTTGTACTTTTCACACCTAGTCATACGAATGGCTCTGAGGGACTTAGAGGCACGTGTACGCAGACGCCACCTTGCTCACGATCCCGAGTGTTGAAGATTACCAGCTTTTGCACGCGGTTCTCGAGAGACTCCGCGGTGCAAGGATCAGGCTCGCTCCAGGTAAATGCCGTCTTTTTCAAACAACTTTGAAATGCCTCGGTGATTAAAACATCACTGCTGGTGGAGTTTCTACTGATCCGGATCGTATTCAGATTCTGGCTGACCTGAGACCACCAACGACTGGGAAATAAACTAAGATGGTGTTTGGGCCCTTTTAGTGGTTCCGTATATTTATCCTATCTTTCGGCGCTGTTTCAGACCCCTTGGTCACTTTATGCAACGCGGATAATTTTCTGGGACGAGGAACTGGACCAATGTTTTTCCCGCCTTCGTGCAGAGATGACGGGTCCAAAATTTTTAGCTACCCGTGCATAGTTTGTCCATTCACTTTACCCACAGAAAGCAGCTGTACGGGGTGTGGCCAAATTTTGTCGTAAACGCAAGACGGGGAGAAACGCATAATTACTTATGATGGTGGTAGATATAGCCGGACTCAGGGGAAGTGGACGAGTTTTGAGCTAAAAGTGCATAGTTTCATTCAGGGTTTAAAGAATTTCTGCAGGTATTTAGCGGATGCCACGTTTACATGGATTTGCGACTGCAGGAGCGCTCTGAAAATTTTGCACAATCGAGATCACATCAACCCGAGGTTGGTACGCTGGAAGGCATTCGTTACCCAGCTCCGTTGCCCTGTGGTGCACAGGTCAGCTGTACAGATGCGGCATGCAGACAGGCTGTCCCGCTTAAAGTCGGTGTCCTGGCGCAACACGCACCGCTGCCAGACCGGGCAGTGTCGGGTACCGGTCGTCGCTGGCGCCCTTGACGGAACATTCGGGAAGTGTGTGGAGCCCGTAGAGTCCCGGGTGGCGAGGTCGGCGGCTCTCCGCGCCGATAGAAGCGGCTACCGTGCAGATACCGGCGCTCGTGATGTTCAACCAGAAAGCGACGATGGATGTAGATACCGAAAGCAAGAAGAGTCCGTGTTGACTGGCACGGGTGATTGGACAGACGTTCCACTTGCATGGCCGGGGAACAATGCACGTGGCACAAATTCAGAGAGGGCTCGGGAGGTCATTTGACAGTTGCAGATTTTCCCGTGCAACTCCCTCTCAAGCCGGATTTCCTTGCGTGATACCAGAAACATGCCAGCAATTGTAGATCGAATACCCATTATTTTAACCATGGGCGATGGCTGCGCTTCGCTCCTCCATATCTGGAACGAGAGCGACCCAATCGGTTTTGCCTGAGGGACGGGATTATACTCCGAAGGGCTCAGCCAGCAGGTGCTGATTTGATTGTGTGGCCCGTTGCTAAGCGTTCTGGGCTCCTTTTCAACCACCATGATGCGCCCCATCCCGCTCACGGGCACGGTTAAACTGCATGAGTAGTTTAGTAGGTATGCTTGGTATCCAGGGCTGAAGAGAGACTGTATGGACTATGTTCGGAGCTGCAAACGGTGCGGTAAAGAAAGAGCACCAGGCTGCAGCATTCACCATTTCTTTCCCAAGAGGCCAGCCATCAGAACGAGACCCTCGTCGTAGACATTCTTACCATGCCTTGCAGTTCGGTGACGGCGATGTTGCTGCTGGCCTGTGTGGACTCATTTTTTGTTTTATTGGCGAGTTACCCGCTTGATTCTGGGTCGTGTGACAGCATCATTAAAAAGCTTAAGCATCACTTTTTAACCTTTGGGCCACCCAAGTTAGTGGAGAATGACGCAGGGTCAAATCTGCTCAAAATACTCGGACGCTCAGGTACTGTGCGAGTATTTTCGTGTTCTAGCACGTTTTAGTATTGGCTATCTTCACGAGGCCGTGGGTAACCTGGATATTAAACGACGGCAACGTGCCGCGTCCAAGTCTCATAGATCTGAACGAGAGCCGCGTCTTCCGGGTCCTTATTCTCTCCTAATCTTTTATAATCTTTTCCTTGAAAATGAGATGGGCAATACCAATGGCTGCACTTCACTCTTTAGTTAATTTCTTCGCCGTCTAAGCAGCCCCATTTCTCAGCTATTTGGAGGCCGAGTAAGTTTGTACAAAGACGACCTCGCCCACGAGAGGCTCCGAATTCTCTCGGCGACCGTAGAGAGGGCTCAGAGCAAGAAGGTGGAGAGCGTGATAAAATACAAAGTGCAGTGCGGTAAGCGACGTGGGGCTAGGGAAGGGAAGCTGGGATCAGGTGATCGAATCTGGCACTGTAACTTTCATATAGGAACAAAAATAGATAACCTGTGGATTGGGCCAGCTTTTTTTGTGTCGCGTGGGCTGCCAGCATCTCGATTCTTTGGATAAGAAGGATGCTGTTCATGGTACATGTGTGAAGAGTGTAAAACATGTCATTGAACACTGTGTGTAATGTCTACATTAGGCCCATATACTTTAATCGCGTTGGCGAACGACGTGTGTGCAATGATGGTAGGCATGCTAGTGAGTAGTGAACTTGTATTTTCTTTGCTTTGGTACGAGGGCCGAATCTGACTTTTGTGAGAAGGGGAAAAGTAAACCCCTGCATCGCTCTGGATCCGTCTCTGTCTAGCGTGACATATGAATGGCTCGAGGCGCTTAGGGCCGCCGATGCCAGCGGGAAATGTGCGTATGGCGAGTAGTTGAATGCAGACCTCGTTCGGGTTACATGCATTGCGCGGGTGAATGTGGACATGGGATCCATCGGCCGGGCCGAGCCGTGACAACCTATGCTCACTCTGAATGCCGTTCTGTCCGTCTGTTTGGTCACGATACTTACGTAGGCGTAGGAGCCGGAGTAGAGGGTTCAGAGTGAGACCACGACTCTCCCGCTCTTTGTGTGTGTGCTTGTTAAAATCGAAACAATCGTGTGGCGATCCATGGAAAGCATTGACTCAAAACAGATTCGGCACTGGTGGTAGGAAGATCCTGACCTATCAAATGTAATCTGTGACGAAAATAAGCCAATTGCACATCTATTTGTTGACTAAACCTTACACATGCAGACAATTCATTTGTTGACCCGCGCCCGACCAAAGGGAAGTTGACTGCCTTCTACAGTTTTCTAGCACGTGTAAGACACGATCACTTACAGCAACAACAAATTTGCAGCACCTGCCTATAAATCAATTTGGCATCTTTTGCAGATATTTGAAGTTTTGATCTACCAAGATCAATGACCTAGGTCATGTCAAAGAAGCAAACTTCTTAAAAAGTTTAACCACGCATAGCTCTGTTATTTAAACTCCCGTTGTTCAAACTTGCTATAGTAATAAAGCATGATATTGCCTACAGTTTAAATGTTTCAGATTGTTCGGAAAAGGGGAGGTCAGTTATCTGAAGTCAGGTCAGTCCTTGCTGTGTTTTTGTGAACAATGCAAAGTTGTGCACAATTTTGTGTAGTTTTGGTGTTTATGCATAAGGAAAAAATACTAACTTACATGCCCAACCATTATACGACCCCAGAGAACATTACCCTGGCCCAGGTAATTGATTTGATTTGAGTTAGGTTTATTTTCGATTATGGACAAAAAACAACCTATAATATGACGAGTG